ACCTAGGTGGAGAGATACATTAATCAGTGTCAGCAGGGAAGAAATATCTAGCACCAAATTTTCTTTCGTTTTTATCAGCAATAAGAACCTAAAGGGTAAGGGGCATAGAACTCATAGTTTGGATGCAAGAGGAGGTGTTCTACAAAGATATGGAATATACAATACTTCCTATAGAAAAAAAAAAAACTGGTAGAAGTAGGAGGGTTCTGGAGTCCCTAGAAACATATGGCTTTTGACAAAGATTCTGAGAGAGAGAATGGTCCCAATTCTGGATAAGCATCAAAGTCATGGAAAATTCTGGGCTTGGTATCAAAAGATAAAGAACGAACAAAGTTACTGTCTGCAAAGGTGTCCTTGATTAAAGGGGGAACTAGCTCGATAGTCCAAAAAGTAGCTGGTAAGAACCTGAAGCCAAGGCATTTGCATAAGCTATAACCATAATCATTTGTTTCCCCGCTCTCATTTCAACTTCCTATCTCCCACAGGGGGCTGATCCTTGCAAACTACATTTCCCAGGTGCCCTTGCCAGCTGGCTTCCAGGTCGGTTCAGCCAATAGGAGGCGCAGCAGGAACCTGGAGGGTTAGAGAGAGCGAGAAGCCAGAGTATTTCTCCTTCTCTCTTGCTCAGCTTCTGGTAGCACCTCCAACTAAAACTACAGCTGCTCCATGAGTCCAACTTCTGCAAGGTGGCCCAATTCCAGAGCTTTTGAAGGCCACCTCGTCCCTTAGTCCCTCCAGCCCTGGAGGTGGGAGAAGCTTCTTCCTTTTGCTAATCTCTGGCTTTCTCTGAGATCCCTTACTTGGCTTTTTGGCTCTTCCAACAACTTTGTAACTGCTCCCCTATATTAAATTCCCTGAACTGAACTACCTGGCACTAGCTCTGATTTCCTGCTTAGACTCTGCATGATACTGTGTATTAAAATAAACTATTACCTTACATCATTCCAGACATTTAGATTACTCAATTTAAAATAGCATTGAAATCTTACATTTTGCTTAAATTAGTAGAATTAGTCAGAATTGCTTTACAAATGTGACAAACATTATTCTTTTATTAGACAAGTAGTATATGTAAATTATTTTAAAATTAGAGTAAAGGATAACCACATTAAAATTATTTATGTATAATTCAAACACCATGAGATAATATCGTTATTGACATTTTGTTATATTTACTTCCAGCTTGTTATATAATTACACTTATGCCTTGCCATTTACCAATATTTTAAAACTATTTGTATCACATTATATAGTTTTAGAAATTTCTATAGATTTTTATGAATATAAATCTTAAAACTCTATAATCTAACTTCTTTACATTTTGTAGCATGCATTTTCACTTGAAATTATATTCCTTTCCATATCAATAAGCAACATTAAATAGTGGCACCGAATTCAAATGCATCATATACCACTGCCTGGATAGACTGTGCTTTATCCCCCCAAAGCCTATTGCTGGACATTTAGATGTTTTACACTGTTGTTCACATTGCCGTTATAGACATCCTCATGGATAAGTCTTTTCACCTTTGCTGCATAATTTTCTTGGATAGAAGTGGAATTGCTGGGGTAAAAGGAAGTGTATTTCTAAGGCTTGTCATACATATGGTGAACTACCATCCAGAGAAGTTACAGAGATAGTCGATTCTTGGATGCTTTGTAAACTTTTAACTGCGTTAACATCAGTGGTGTTTGTAAATGTCCTGACAACCGGAACTCCGTCATTCAATGCCAGTTATTACCTCTGGCTTATTATAATTGTAATTAAACAATGGTCACGATGAAAATGGTTTCCTGAGAATCCACTGCAAAGCTGACATAATTGCCAGGCTCGTGGGGAGGATCTTGTCCTGCTAAAGTTTTGTCACATCGAGAACACAAGTTGCCTTTACTGCTCTAAATTGGTCAGCACCAATTCCAGTGAATATAAATTCACTCGTTAACAATAGTGTGAATCCTGGTACCTAAGCAACTATCATTAGGTGGGATTTGGAGGAAATGCTTGAAATTTGGACAGTATCATAGTTGTTTGAAGAGAATGAAACTCGAGACATTTAGGACAGTGATAGGTACATGACCGTGACATCGAGCAGAGTTTCAATCATGTATTTCAAATTATCCGGCGGGAAAATTTGAGTGGTTTTTTTTCTCGTTCATAAGTATGTTTAATCCACAATGTCTTTTAAGAAAGTTACTTTGGTCCTGAAGGAGCTGGAGGTCCGCTCCCCTCATGGGCACAAAATGGCTTACTAGCAACTCCCACGAATGCCTACGTCTCTGTTTACAATCAATGAGGAAAGAGAACGTCTCTGTCTGTGGTTCCTTAGAAGATTTAGGAACCATGCTTCCTGGAAGCCCCTGGCAAATGTCCGCTTGAATCTCATTAGCCCAACCTGGGTCACATGACTACCCCCAGACCAGTCATTGTAATGGGGATGCGCCCTGCTGTTCAGTTGCAGCCATTCAGGACCACTCCTGCTGCTGGTACCATGAATACCTCTTAAGGTGTAAGAAGGTCTAACCAGGGAGCTAATATTAAGAGGGAAGGTGAAGAGAAATCATCGGGGGTGAGAGAAAAGCAAATGTCTGTTATGTAGACGTTTTTAAAAGTACTCCTGGAGTGATAGGTACATGACTGAGACATCAAGCAGAATTTCAATCATTTATTTCAAATTATGTGGCCTGCCTCCTTGGAGGTCTGTCTCTCCACCCACTTCGCCCATCCCTCAAGATGAAAACTGATAGATCTGCCATCAATTTTTCAGCCAAGGGGTTGAAACATCTTAGTGGATTGAGATGAGGGAGATATGTCAACTCTGAGTCATTCCTAATAATCGCTGAAGAGACAAAATTTATAAATGATTTCACCATTTCCTATCTAGTTGAGCTTATTCAAGGCTATCCCGGATACTATAAACCAGCCTATGTTAAACCTCACTTGGCCACTTATTTATTTATTTATTTTTGTGTCCTCTATACTTTATTGAGTGGATGAGGAGCTGCAATTATGAATATTATTTTGGGGATCTAAGAATCTTTGCTGCCTCGCACAGGACACGTACTGCGTGACCCAGAAGACAAAAGGCTGAGAATCAGACAGGCCAGTAAGAGTCCCTGCCTACCACTGCGTTCCCCACACTCCATCCCACCACCCTGCCACACGTCATTCCACTTTGATACAGCTACGCTCCTCACCGTCCATGTTCAACTGCAAAGGCCCAGAGAAACAGGCACCCCAGCCCAATTTCATTTTCAGAGAAAGCGTGTGATGATGGCTGCCGGGAAAACTCTGTGCCTCCTCCCACGCGTCCATGTGATGACTTCTGTGCGCGAGTGCCTGACCCGTCCTCACTCTGCCTTTAGGATTCACCTAACACTAACATCTCAATACATCGGCCTCTGTCAGACCAGCCTCTGTCAAACCTCACTTGGCCACTTATTATTATTTTTTTTTTACCTTTTTCTTTATTACTTAATTAATACTTATGGCAAAGTCATAGGAAGTTCACATAAGCAAAGAAATAATCCCACCCCTGGAGAGAAA